ACCAATGTAATAGAATTCTGGAGTACAGTCCTCTTACTCAATATGCTCTCCCTCCTTGTCCACTCCCACTGTAGTCAACTGCCTAGGAAAAAAGCTTCAAATAACTGGGATCACCTTTAAAACTATAAAACAGCAATCTTGAGATTCATCATGCACCATTTCAGCTAAGGCCAAAAATATAATTCACATATCCCCTAGTTATCATTAGAACACCAGAAGATGTAAGTTTACCCAAAAGGCTCTAAATACCTGGATGGCTTATCAAAGGGAAGTGGAAAGGCATTTGATACAAAAATATCCAACCCTTATTAATGAGAGGTTGTCAGAGGACTCCCAAGGCTCATGTTGATACTATATCATAAGCAGAGTCAATTAAATTCAAGCAGAGAAAAACATTGCTTGTTCTTCCAAGTTTGCAGAGGAATCAGTGGAAGTTCCAAGAGCAACACTGTCCAGTGCAGTGACCCTCACCCTTAGTATGGGTCCATGGTACAGTAAAGGTGCACACTGTACCTTTATGAAGGGATCTATTACACAGTATTTCACACACATTATTTACGCACGCTCTCACCACTTCTAGCCTATGTGGTCCTCAAAGTCAGGGACCACATCTGTGTATCCTCAAAACCTAGCACAATGTGGGCGCCTGGGTGGCTCAGTCGGTTAAGCGACTGCCTTTGGCTCACGTCATGATCCTGGAGTCCTGGGATCGAGGCCCTCATTGGGCTCCCTGCTCAGTGGGGAGCCTGCTTCTCCCTCTGACCCTCTACCCTCTCATGCTGTTTCTCACTCTCTCTCTCTCTCTCAAATAAATGAAATCTTAAAAAAAAAAAAAAACCTAGCATAGTGCCATCATTTATTAAATGTCCTTTAAAAGGCAAGCACAAACTAAAGGATTATAACCCAGTGTGATAGCCAGAGACTTAGAAAAACAAAACAAGCAAGCCTTCAGATCCAAGTTGAAAGCAAAGAACAGAGGTTTATTATCATTTCTGAGTTCAGTTAGATTTTAAAAACATTTTAAAAATGGATTTGTTTCAAGTCTTCAGTGAGAGTTTGGGTGGGACTGGGTTTTATCTGAACCAGTCTGCCCATCCTTTTCCCACAGTGCTTTGGAAGAAAGCAGAGAGCGATTACTCACCAGTTGGCACAATTCTTAGTTCCTATGTACTGACACCAAATTGTGTTCCAAAAGAGAGGCGTTTACAAAGGATTAAAACCTGGATGCCCGGGCCCTGGAATGTGGTTCACGTTATAAGCTTTCCAACGTGGTGCTAAATTAACTGCATTTGGTTCCAGATGGTTAATGATTCATAAGTGGAGAGGTGACTTCAAGTGGAAATTGTCTCAATTCTCAGTTTATGCCACTTCAGAAGGCTTCCCCGAGTTTGCTCCCCTTCCCATCCTCACCCCTACCTCCTTCTGTAGCCCCAGCTTTCAGGGTTGCAAACCCCTGAAAATTGATGGCCCAGCTATGAAAGTAGGCCCTTTTTGGTTCCCTCAAAATAGTAGAACGATGACCTAGAACGTGGTGAAAGCCCAGAGAAAAGAAAGATGAATGAAATCTAGATCGACTGTGGTAACAAGAAAATGAATCCATGGGGACGTCATAATTCACTATGATCTTCTCATTCCAACCCTCCCATCCTCACCAACCGCAACACAGGAGCATATGAATGTGTGCATGTGCGCGCGTGCCTCAGTGCACCGGCCCACTACCCTCTTCGTATAGTCCCCTGGCTTCCTTCTGAGTTTCACTCTCTTTGTACTTGCCCTTTTCCCGTTATCTTTTGTTGTTACTGCCTTGCCTTTAGGGAGCCTGCACACAGCCCTCGATTGCGGGCTCTGACTGCCCTGGCACTTCCCTTCTGTCCTTCAAACACAGAATCCCCAAATAACGCTTCCTTCGTTATTTCTCATTAAACTCCACGTCCTCTGGAACTTGTCAGCTGTCCCCCAGATAACAGAAATCACATCCATCTAAATCATTCTCCACAGTGCCCAGCAAGGAAGCAGGTGTAAGTGGAGATGCACGTCACCATGCCGGCTCTCTGATTATAACGATGTGGTGATGATGTGGACAAGATGGTAATGATCCCATTTGCTTCAGTCTGCACCTCCTTTTAGAAGCTAGACTCACCAGTGGCTCAAAGACATCAACATCAATGAATCTGAAAGTGCTAAGAAAAAGGGAAAGGCTAGCTCTATAAAGGTGAGGTGGTAACAATACAAGAAAGGGGAAAAAGAGGAAACACTCATAAAGGGAAACTCAGGACAGTGCCACAGAAATGCAAATGGGTATGGGCTTTGCAGTCTGACAGGACTGGGTTAGAATCCCTGTTTGGTCACATTCTAACTGCCTGGTGTTGGGCAAGTTGCTTAACTTCTCTGAATCCCCACTTTCTAAGCTTAGAAAGATGTTAAAATGTTCATCTTAGAGGATTTTCCTGAACATCCCGTGAGATCACCTTTAAGGCATTTGGCTCGTGTCAGGTGTCCTATAAATGTCAGTTCCCTCCCCTCCTCTCTCAGAAAGAAGGATCCATCGCAATAAGAATTTCCACCGGCACCCAAAGGGCTGCTTTTGTTTGTAATCAATGCATCTTTTAAGGTTCTCACGTTCGGGTGTTTCCTAATGTCTTGCGAAGATGTGCACGTCCTCTACAACTGCCACCTTCAGGGAGAATGTGTATGCAAGTGCCTGTGCAGAGCTGTGCCTGACCCCGCCCATCCATCAGAATTTACTAACTCAACAAGTCCTCTCATCTTTAAGGGGTGGGGCTCTAAACTAGACATCCCTTGGTTGCATTGCACCTAGAACATAGGTCACTGTATTGTATTATCTGCATCAACATCTACATCTCTCCCCTCCCCCCCTTTGCGAGAGCCATGGTGGCAAAGTCTAGATACTATTTCTCTTTGGGTTGCCACCTAGCACAAAGCCTGGCACACATACCATATTGATAGGATTGACCTGAATCACCAATCTTCTGGATCTGCAATGCTTCAGTATATATTCTACATGTTATCATTCCCCAGCAGCCTTTCCCAGAGTCTCAGAAATTCAAGCATTGAAAACATATTATCTTTGTCCATTAAGAATTGACTGTTTAGGTGATCAAAGGTACAAACTTCCAGTTATAAAATAAATCAATCCTGGAGATGTCATGTACAGCATGGTGACTATAGTTAATAATACCGTGTTGTATATTTCAGAGTTGCTAAGAGAGTAGATCTTAAAAAGTTCACCTCACAAGAAAAAACATTGTAACTGTGTGTGGTGATGGGTGTTAACTAAACATATTGTGGTGAACATTTCCCAATATATACAAATATTGGACCATATGTTGTACACCTGAAACTAATATAATGTTATATGTCAATGGTATCTCAGTTTTAAAAGAAAGAAAAAAAAAGTTAGAAACAACTACACACACACACAAAGATTGGCTGTTTAAAAACACTTTTCTTTGGAGAGCTAAAACCTACTCAAAGGAAAGGGGGTATAAGATTTAAAAGAAATGCCTGGGACTAGCCTCAAAGTGCTCTTTGCTTTTTACTTATTGTCCTAACCTTGGGCACCCCACCCCCACCCTTACATCCAAGGCTGAGAGACACTTGTGTAAGTCTCAGAGACACAGGGTGTTCAAGGTGGGTGCCTGGAGGGCTCCGTGCTTAGTAACTGTTGCAAGGGTGACCGATGGTTGTGGGAGGTGGCGGCTCTGTCTGCCTCAAGTAACAAAGTTGATCCTGATGACTAAGTTACAGCAGAAGTATCTCTCAATCTCTGAGTTCCTCCTTTGTTCTGACACATCTCTTTCTCCAGAGGAAATCGGAGCAAGCTTAGGCAAGGGTCCCTGTGCGGAGGGAACCCTCTTTTATGGTTTAACTCATTCATTACCAGACTCTCGTGAAGAAACTGGGGCCCACAATTACTGAAAACCAAATGAGTCCAAGAAACATTTAGAAATATATTTAAGTAACACCCACAGTCAGTTGTTAGGGGAAGTCAAGAAGTTGAGGGGTAGTTTCTAAACTTTAATGCAGATTTCATGGAGGGTTAATCCCATGTTCTTTGTTTTTTTCTTAAAGATTTTATTTATTTGTCAGAGAGAGAGAGAGAAAGAGAGAGAGACAGAGAGCACAAGCTGGGGGAGCGGCAGGCAGAGGAAGAAGCAGGCTCCCTACTGAGCAAGGAGCCCAATATGAGACTCCATTGAGCCCAGGACCCTGGGATCATGACCCGAGCCGAAGGCAGACACTCAACCGACTGAGCAACCCAGGAGTCCCTCCCATGTTCTTCCTTAAAAGAATAACCTTTGGAGACAGACCCTCTGCTCTCCCTCAACAGCTCTGTGCCTTTGCACCAGTTACTGATGCGAGCTAGCTAAGCCTCAGTTTTCTAATCATTTAAACGGACATAAAATGGAATACTATAACCAATAGGGGTATTAACATTAGTTAAAATCACTAACTCATCTATATGTACTAACTCCCTAGTCTTTGGCAGGCAAAACCCGGGTCCCATAGATAGAACTATCCCCATGGCTCCCATATGCTGAGGCCAGGAGCCGGCTGCCAATAGTCCTCAGGCATGGTCTTTTGTACCTGGCTGGTCCCTGGGGCACTTGAGTGCATGACCCCTGAGCTGGGGCCACCACATTATCTTTTATAGATGAGGAAACCAAGGCAAAATGTCACAGGGCTCACCTTTGCCTGTAGGCAAATTTGCAATTCGATGACAGGCAATGCTCAAGTGCTTTCTTAAATGGTCACTGGGACTCCAGTGCAAGCCAGAGAACTGGGCTGCATGGACTTTTTCAATCACTTCATCTATATACCGTTTATCAAATGTTTTTATAACTTGAGTTCATCTAGTCCAAAGAATGCAGAATATTCTCTAGAGGATAAGGCTAGCTCATTCTATGCTAATTGTAATAAAAGTGAAGATAATGATGGGGCTTAGCTGTAGCAGTAATTGGAATTTATTAGGCACTTACTATGTCCCAAGCATCCTGCTGAGCATTAAACGTGTCTTATGTCTTATTTCACATAATCAGCCCAACAGCCGGAATCCTCCTTTGTTCTTCGTCCTCAGACCAGCAAAAATCTGCAAGAATAAATTGCTTCAATTTTTCTGTAGGATCTGGGTGCTCAAGTACTGTGCCCAAATCAAATCTTTTCTAAATTCTGAATGTGGTATGGGTGGTTTTAAGTAGGCAATTAAGAGACAGGTATCTCTGGAAATAAAACACAAGAGGAAGTTAATTCTTAATCGTTTGCATCTGGAGCCATTTGATAGTGACTGATAATTAATATATATCAGATTGCTCAATCACGTTTAGAAGATGGATTGCGGGTGGAGTGGGAGAGGTGCCTTCTAGTCTGTTCCAATGAAATGTTTCTGTGTTATCACCAAATAATAAGTTCTGTAAGGTGAGGGGGTTAGAAATGCCTAGCTTCCTGTGGACAAACGCCAGGTGGAGGAAATAAACAGATATAGTTCCCACTGGTTACAGACGCCCTAAAAAAAAAGTGTTTCCTATCATGCTGCCAAGACAATGCCAGCTGGTTATAACATAAATTCAGGGGGAGAAGAAAGAAGGAGACTCAGTAGTGTCTGGGAGTGAGTGAAGTAGAAAATAAGAAAAAGACTCATTCTAATTTTGTTTATAAAGTATAAACTCCTACAATTGAGTTAAGTGGCAGCCCTGATTCTTAAGTAAACGAAAGTCTTGTCAACCTGACAAATTAAAACCTGGAGCCCAGGGTACTATTAGTTTGTGAGTGGTTGGGAGTAACAGAATGCTGGAGCAGGACAGGTTCTAAAGTCATGCAGGCCAGAGATCACGACTGGCAGCCCCCAGATGTTGCCCTCTTTGATTTTCCTAGAATTAACTTAGATGGCTTTTTAACATTGTTTTAATTAATTGTCAACATTTAAAAAATTAAAGGACTTCACAGAAAAATCCAGATCGCTGATATCCTCTAAAAAATGAGAAAACAGGCAAACGCAGGACCTACATTTTCACCTATCAACCCCTCAGACCCACATGGTTGGTCCCCACTATCACCATGGTTCCCCAGTGCCGCGGCCTACTGTGAGCCACCATTAATCCTTGAAATGGCATTTTGTTACTTGTCTGACCCCTGTGAGCCCTTCAGTGCATGTACCCTGAGCTGGGGCAACCCCATTATCTTATAGATGAGGAAACCAAGGCAAAACCTCACATGACTCACAAATACCAGAGTCCCAGTGTTATGACAGGTCAGGCCATTTGCCGACCATCCTAGTTAACATCTCTTGCCAGTTCCCCAAAGGAATCCTATGGTCCAGGCACACTAGATGCACCCTCGTCATGCAATGGTCAAGGCTCTGTTTCCCTCTGTCCCAAATGTCTTTCCCTGTCTCAGATTCTTGCTCATCCTTTCAGACTCAGAGTATTTCCACCCTCACTCCCCAGGCAGAGAAGTGTCCACACAGCACTTTGTACCCACTTCCATGACAGACGGCAGAGTCCTCCACGGGAAGGTCAATGTTAAGGCCCTCTCTCTGATGTCACTAGTGCCATGACACGCCAGGAGCTCTGAATAAATCCGGGGTTCAAAGGGGATAATCAGTTTGTCCTCAGATACATAGATAATTATATTCATAATGTCTAGCAGAAAAAAACAGGTTAAAAACATATTCAACCCGTAAGGCACACTCAGACTGATAAGCTATCAAGTAAGTGACCTTGAAAACTCTCTGTGACAAATGCAATTTCTACCAGCTCAAGCCTTACACCAGACATTGAGACTCCTTGATCAGTGTGGCTGGTGAGGTATCAGAGGGTCCCCATGTGGGGACCCCAGATATCTTCCCCACCAGCCTGCCAAATTGTTTAAAAGCCCACTATATAAACTTACTTGCATTAAGGCTTTTCCTTTTAAAATGCAACACCCTTTCTCCCCTCCTCCCCAAGAGCCAGTACATTAGGCAATTCTCGGAGGTTAGCACAGGGTCAGTTAGCTTATCAACTATTTTTCTATCTGATGCATTTATCCTGGAATATCTGGGTAAGCTGTGATAGAGTTAGATAAAGTAAAGTTCTCAGAGAGGGGACAGGCCTGAATGTCCGAAGAGATGGGGAATAGGCAGTATGCACAATGTTTAAGTAGGAGGCTTGTTAGAACCAAGACGCCTGTGTCCAATCCGCTACCTCCTAGCTGAGGGTCTTTTGCTTAGCCACTTACCTTCTGTGCCTCCATTTCTTCACTTAGATAGAAAATGGTGTTAACAAGAGGCTCTGCCTCAATGGGGCATTGGAGAATTCAGTGAGTCAACATACAGCAGGCATTCAAAACGGTGCCTGACAGAGAGTGGTGTAAGCTGGTGTAAGCGTTTGCTTCTCTTACTATTAGGAGGGAATGGCAAGAAACAGCCCTGCAAAGGGCTACTCCTGCTCTACTACCTACTGGTCCCCTTTCCCAAAGGACGGGTGAAGGATACAAGGTCCAGAGACGATGAATAGCTTACCGGAGGGGGCAGGCTAGTGGACAGCAGAGCTAGGGCTTCCCATCCAGGGGTCCGCGCCCCCGCCCCCCCTCCCCCCGCCTTGGGACTGGCTGATGAGTAAGAGAGGAAAGGGTTGTGAGAGACCCAGAGAAGCCGAGAGCGAATCTAGCCTCTCTCCCTTCTCGGGATAAAAGGACCCAGCCCTTTGGGACTTCTCCCCGGAGTCAATTCCATGTCCCTGCTCTCGGGTGGGCTCGAAGTCGGAGCAAACGCCACCCTCTGACACACACACACCCACACCCCCGCGCCTGGGCGTACCCTCTAAGTCTGGCACAACGCGGCAACTCGCTGCCCCGCTGGGAGGACGAGTCAACAGTGGGGTGGACGGGAAAAGTGACATAATCCGGCCGCGGCGCCCTCCGCGCCAGCCTCCCACGCAGCGCGGGGTGGGCCTGGGCCCTCGCAGGAGGGGGGGCTGGGGCTGCGGCTGCGGCCGAGCCGCGGCGGTCTCCCGCGCGCGCTCCGTCCCGCCCGCCCGCAGCTCCTGAGGCCCCGGCGCCCGCACTCCGCGGCAGCGCGGCGGTCGCGCGGTCTCTGGGCCCGCTCCGGGGGCCGCCGCCGCCCCCCGGACCTGGATGACGGAGTCTTGAAAGACTTTCACCAAATATGGGCCGGGGCTGGAAGCGTCCTGCGGCGCGCGCCGCCGGAAACCTCGAGTCCTGCCCACCGCCGCGACTTCGGGCGCGCGGGCCCGGCGGCCGGCAGGGGGCGGCGGGCGGCAAGCGGCCCTGGAGCGCCGACCGCTCCAGCCCCCGGTCTCCCCGCCGCGGGGACCCTGCGCGCCGTCTCCGCGGGGGTCCCCAGGGCAGCCGAGGCCCTCCCCGCGCGCCGGCCACCCAGGTCCCGCCGCCAGCCCGATGACCCCTGGCTCTCCCTACCGTCACTCCACAGGGTGGGGGTGGGGGCCCGGAGCGGGGTGGAGGGAAAGGATGGCGGGGGCGCCACCTTAAAGCTGACCTTTCGCCGTCACCATAAATTGTTCTGTTCATTGAAGTGGCTATAAAAAGTGTAGTTGTGAGACTGGGTGTGCAGGCGAGGACCTGACCAAGAGGGCACATGCCCGCGCAGACACACCGCTGTAGAGGCACTCCGACAGTCCAAGGCGGTGGTTCTCAGGGTGTGATTCCCCGGGCCAGCAGCTGCAGCATCACCTCGGGACGTGTTAGAAATGTAGCTAATAAGAAACTCTGGGGTAGGGCCCAGCAATCAGTCTCTTAATCAGCCCTCCAGGTGATTCTGAGACACGCCAAAGTTTGAGAACCACTGGTCTAGGGCTGGGAAACAGGAGTTGGCAGTTTTAGGGTGATTATTATTCTCAGTTACCGCCAGACAGTGAACCCTTCTTTTGGTGACCTAAAATTCCCTGGCAGCAGCGGGTGAGAAATGTCCCCATCACTCAGCTCAAAGCTTGGAGCTGCCGAAGACAAGCAGCTCCTTCTCTGTGTCTTGCAGCCCAAGGAAACAACACGGGCTCATCATTCCCTCACGGGGCGCCCGTGCAGGGAGGGAGTGAGGAAAAAGAGCAAAAGAGCCATGCAGAATTAGCATCCGAAGACACTTACCCATAAACATTTGCACATTTCCCCTCTAATCTGTCAACGTGAACTGATCTGCAGCTCTCAGCAGAGGAGGTGAGAAGGCGACCGGACATCTGGGGTTTCTGGACCATCCTTAAGCTGGACATGAGGAGCTGCAGTCCTCTCATCTGATGCTGTCGTTTACTAGCAGGCGCACCAGGACATAGTATATGGAAAGGCTGTGCACATAGGTTCCTCCAGTCTCTCCCTCTCCCCCACCTCCTGGCCCTGTTTGCTCCAGCCGCCCCCCACCCCCAACAACATACTCCCTGCCTTAAATGGGTAGCTGATGGTAAGGTTCTCTAAGTTTCTCCTTAGGACAAACTCATCCTCCAAGAGTCCCCAAATGAAGCCCAGAAACAAACCCACACACCCTTGTTAGAAAACTTTAATCTGATTTTTAAAGGAATCTCTGGAATGGCCTGTGTTTCAAAGCTGTGCAGCAGACTGAATCTCTTTGCGGACCTCCGTCCCCCCTCAATAAAAGAGCAAGGTATATCCACCGGCCAGTTGGATCATCCACTATAATTTTATTTTAAATCATGATAGACAGATTGCGTGAAAAACAAGGAATTCCGAAGAATTTCCTGCTCTGGGAACAGAAGTTAAGTCTATATTTAACAACATTTGAAGCTGTCAAGAATGCTTTGTGGTTGGATAACAGAGGCAGAAAAATGTTAAAAACGCAGGCTACTGCTATACCCAAATATGGAAATATTGTTACGTCTGGTGTCTGATTCACCATCTGGAAATACTTACAACCATGAAGTCAAATAGAAAAGACTCCACAACAGAAGCCAGGAACACTCCTCTCCATTCTCTCCCCACGACCTCCTCCCACCCTCTGCGCCTACTCACCCCCATCCCTAGTCACTTCATTAAGAGGGAAACAATAATGAAGCTTTAATGCAGGAAAAAAAAAAAAAGTGTTCCAAATAATAATGGATGGACTGTCTTGAGTACGAAGTAGGGCCCAGATTTTCCTCTTTATTTGCATAGCACCTGACAAGCCATAGTCTTGAAAAGTAAGCCCCGCACCCCAAACCCCCTCCGACAAAGCCTTAGAGATCCTACTCCCAACTAGCAAAAGCCTCTTAGACTTATGAAAGGGCACTTTTGAATGAATGAAACTTAAATCTTTCCTGCCACAGTTCTCTTTATTGGAGGATGTTTTCACTGCAATAGCTTCTCATTGTGATTACCAGAGTCATTCACAGAAAAGTTGGCACTGAAGGACTTCTTAAGCAAGACTGCTACATTGTGAAGACTGAGCAGCCCTACACTTTAAAAAGGACGAAGAGTTGTAGAGCACATATAAAAGAAAGATTAGCATAATTACTTGTGTATGTTTTTATTAAAATTGCACAAGAAGATAGTTTTTGAAATTTTGAGGGAAAATTTATCAATCACACTAATGATATTGATGATGTTAAAGCAAATTGCTTTGTAGGGGAGTCTTCTACTGAGTGTGTGGAAGACAGAATAGGATCTTATATTCTGCTAACAGTTTTACTGCAGAACATTATATTCTAATCTATTTCTTTGTACTTGACTAGAAAAGCATTGCAATCCATTTGGAATGGGAGGCTTCTAAGTGGTCCCAAGGAAATGTGTTAAAAACCCCACATAACTTTTAGCTTTAGATCCACTGGGCACAATGGTGCTGGAATCTAGTTTGGCATTGCAGTATACACAGGTGATGATCTCAGGACAAATCACTGCAAGGTGGTCCCCCCCGGCTTTTGGCTGGCTGCTTAGTTAGCATCGCCTCCCGCCCGCGGAGGGAGGCTGGAAGGGCTTACCCAGTCTCCCGCATCCGTGAGGAAGTAGAAGTCAGCCTCCCGGAGAATTCCCTGCGTTCGTTTCCTCTCGGACTTCCAACCCAGGCAGTGGGCTGGAACTAAAGTGGGAACCTCCAAAAACAAACAAGTACGACATACCAAAAAAGGGAGGGGGGCGGAAGGGGGAAGACCTCTGCCTGGGAATCTGCCAGACAGTGGGGGAAGTTGATTTTTTTTTTCCTCTTCTCATTCATAAATGCCAGTGCGGGTATTAATTTGCAATACACTTAACTTGGCTAATAAACACCATGCCAAAGCTTTGGGACTTGATTCGAGCATGCCTCTATGAAATCCACAAATAGTCCTGGCTCACAGACGCACTCCCCCTCCCCGTTCACCTCTCAGTAGATAACTTGACTCTCACCTTCTCTGTAAACAAGCAAACAGCTCGCTGCCTTCCCGGGTGAGGGCTTCCAGGGCTGCCCGGTCAACTCGGCATCACCAAACAAAACCACTTTTGTTCCTCCCTCCCAGGTCCTCCCACCCTCCCAGTGCAGGCAAAGTTCTGAACTCGCCCCCCTCGCCCCTTCCACCACTTTCACCACCAACACGCCAGAAAGAGCCCTCCCCAATAGAAGTAGTTATTTAAAGTGGAAAAAATGGGAGATTGTTTTCTTGACGGATCCAGGACCAAAAAAAAAGAAAGAAAAGAAAAAAAAAAAAAAGGTGCAACGGAGCCAGGGGAGGCGCTTGGCAGCAGCCCGCGCCAACCAGCATTCCTGAGATGTTTGAGAATTCTGGAACTCGCAGACAGAGCCGACGTCACTGCAACACGCGGCGCCGCGGCCGGCCCGTATAAAAGGCGGGCTCTGGGCGCTGGGGCAGACCGCGAGCGAGAGCGCCCCCGAGCAGCACCCGCGCCCTTCGCGCCTCCTCGGGAAGGACCTCAACAGAAGGACCCCTGCAGCCCGCTCGCCACCCCGGCCCTCGCCCTCCTGCCACCAGGCCCGCCGCCCCGCCGCCCGGACCGGAGCCCGACCCGCCTCCCGCCGCCCGGAGCCCGGGACCCGACCCCGTCCGCTGCGCACCAGTGTGTCGGCGTCTTTGCTTCCGCGCTCGTCCGGACTCTGCGCGCCACAATGAGCTCCCGCACGGCCAGGACGCTCGCCTTCGCCGTCACCCTTCTCCACTTGGCCAGGCTGGTGAGTTCTTTTGCCTCCGCTTCCCCATCCGCTCTCCCAGGTCCTTCCCCTTTCCCCAGATTGCCCCCAGCAGAGAAAACTAAACTCAAAAGTTCGGGGGCCTTCTTTAGGCACCCCCCCCCCCCCCCCACGGAGACGCGTCGGGGGCCTTGCTGGCAGACGCAGCCGCCCGGACTGGCCGGGTGGACAGGATCAGAGACCCCGTGCGGACAGGGTCGGAGGAACTCCTCCACCCCCCTCCCTTCCCTGGGCTCCTCTGCGAACCGCGCCGAGTCTCACGCGTGCCTTCTCTTCTCTCCCCCTCTAGGCGCTCTCCACCTGCCCCGCCGCCTGCCACTGCCCCCAGGAGGCGCCCAAGTGCGCCCCAGGAGTCGGGCTGGTCCGGGACGACTGCGGCTGCTGTAAGGTCTGCGCCAAGCAGCTCAACGAGGACTGCAGCAAAATGCAGCCCTGCGACCACACCAAGGGGCTGGAATGCAATTTCGGCGCCAGTTCCACCGCTCTGAAGGGGATCTGCAGAGGTAAGATGCTTGTGGTTTGGCCCCTTTAAAAAAATAATAGTCCTCGTAGTCCAGAAGTTTAGTAATTTTGAGACCATGTATGGTGATGCTTTGTTGTTGGTAGCTTGGCAGAAAGGCACATGATTTCAGCAGTCTGGAATGCAATTCAGTGTGTCTGGGCCCAACGAAAAGCGCATACGGAAAAGTGATTCCTGACTAACTTATTGTTCTGGTCTGGAGTCCCCGAGGAATTGTAGGGAACTTTACCATAAATTGAATTTAACAGCAGAAAATATGTATGCGTTTCAGGCCATGGTTGGGAATCTTAACTTTATCCTCTTTTCCCTTTCTCTTTCGGTGCTCTTTGCAGCTCAGTCAGAGGGCAGACCCTGTGAATATAACTCCAGAATCTACCAGAACGGGGAAAGTTTCCAGCCCAACTGTAAACATCAGTGCACATGTATCGACGGCGCTGTAGGCTGCATTCCTCTGTGTCCCCAAGAACTCTCTCTCCCCAACCTGGGCTGTTCCAACCCCCGGCTGGTCAAAGTTACCGGGCAGTGCTGTGAGGAGTGGGTCTGTGACGAGGATGGTGCCAAGGACCCCGTGGACGACAGGGATGGCCTCCTGGGCAAGGGGCTGGCCTTCGATGCCTCGGAGGTGGAGTTAACCAGAAACAATGAATTAATCGCCGTTGGAAAAGGTGGCTCCCTGAAGCGGCTCCCAGGTAAGCTGAGACTGAGCCCGAAAGACGTTGTGCTGAAACACATTCCTAGTTCGGAGCTTTGTAGAAATGAGTACTTGAACGTGCTGGGGTCAGTGTGCCTCTGAGAGATTTGTCCTCTTGTCTGTCTCTAGTTTTTGGAACGGAACCTCGAATCCTATACAACCCTTCTTTACACGGCCAGAAATGTATCGTTCAAACAACTTCGTGGTCCCAGTGCTCCAAGACCTGCGGCACTGGGATCTCCACACGAGTCACCAATGACAACCGTGAATGTCGCCTGGTGAAGGAGACCCGGATTTGTGAAGTGCGGCCTTGTGGCCTGCCCATGTACGGCAGCCTGAAAGTAAGCTCGTGGGGGTGCTGGTAGCCCCCTCCCCGGCAGGCAGCTGGGCCGAGATGCGGGCCTCTCGTCCAAGGACGAGAAACCCCCGTTCCTAACTTTCCTTCTCGCTCCTCTCTTACAGAAGGGCAAGAAATGCAGCAAGACCAAGAAATCCCCCGAACCTGTCAAGTTCACTTACGCTGGATGTTCGAGCGTCAAGAAGTACCGGCCCAAGTACTGCGGCTCGTGCGTGGACGGCCGGTGCTGCACGCCTCAGCAGACCCGCACGGTGAAGATGCGCTTCCGCTGCGAAGACGGGGAGGCGTTTTCCAAGAACGTCATGATGGTCCAGTCCTGCAAGTGCAACTACAACTGCCCGCATGCCAACGAGGCGGCCTTTCCCTTCTACAGGCTGTTCAACGACATTCACAAATTTAGGGACTAATTGCTACCCGGGTGACCGGAACTGGGGAGAAGAGGGCCCGAATCACGGAGCTATGGGTGGGGGCGGTGGGGGTGAGGGACTCATTGTAGAAGGGATGCACTGCTCATTCGTGAGTAGTACTGAGGTATTTTGAAACTGCCAAGGGTGCTGGTGCAGACGGACACTTAACGCAGCCACAATGGAGAATACTTCGCTTCATAATATTGGAGTACACATTACTGCTTCATTTTGGAGCTTGTGCCGTTGATGACGTTCTGTTTTCTGTTTGTAAATTATTTGGTAAGCATGTTTTTCTCTAGGCTTTTTTTCCTTTCGGTTCTACAGTTGTTAAAAAAAAACAAAACAAAACACGGTTAGTTGATCAGTTAAAGCCTTCATCTTTTGACAGAAGTAAATGGGAAGGGGGTTCCATCCCTTCCTGGAGGTGACACTCTGTGAGTGTCCGTGAGAGGCAGCTATCTGCACTCTAAACTGCAAACAGAAATCAGGTGTTTTAAGACTGAATGTTTTTATTTATCAAAAGTGTAGCTTTTGGGGAGGGAAGGGAAATGTAATACTGGAATAATTTGTAAATGATTTTAATTTTATATTCAGTGAAAAGAATTTATTTATGGAATTAATCATTTAATAAAGAAATATTTACCTAATACCTGCGTGTGTGGCATTCAGTATTTTTAGAGACTACCCAGAGTCATTGGGAAGAGCCTAGCTTATTGTGCATCCTTTCAGTCATTCAAACAGAACTACTTGAGTGCCGACTTTGTGCCAGGAACTGTTCTAGGAGCTTAGGGTAAGAGCAGGGAACTAACCTACAAAAATAAGACAATGATTGCTTTTATCTTCAGCTGAGAAAAATCTTTGCATTTAAAGTGATCTTTTTAAAACATGTATTGAATATGAGGCATTGTAGGAAGCACAAGGAATCTGAAGCTAAATTTGTGATTTAAATAATAATGCTTTATTTTCCTAAGAATTCAAAGCCAAAGGATCTCCATCACCCCATCACTGCATGGTGGGTATAGTAGAGTCATTTATCATTTTAATCACTAGGTTATTAGGCTTGTCACCTCGGTAGAGGAGAGAAACTTCAATGAAAACAGTCCATAACCCAGGCTGCCCATATCTAAATCCATGGGCAAGATTAAGTATGGCTGGATAATGTGTTATAAAAGGTCACTTGTTTATAACTTTATATTTTCCCAATATTGCTCCTAAAGCGTAGGCGAACTACTTAAAAATCCACCCTTAGTTGGGATCAGAGAAAAAAAATCTTGGGAGTCTATAGGAGTCAGTTTGTTTTCACTGAATGAGCTTGAAGCAATGACTTGTGTTAATCCTAATAAGCCAGTGATTAGGTAAACATGCTGTTAAATGCAAAGGAATGCAAGGAATTTCAAGTACTTTTCCAATAGCGTGAGGACCGAGCTACCCCATCCCCCCTTTCCTTTTTATAATATACGTTATACTGATGGAGGAGGGAGCAGTTAGATAGAGTTGGCTATCCAGAAGGTCAAAGGCTAGATGCAGAGCATTCCTAAAAGAGAAGGACCTCAATCTTAGGTCTAGGAGAGGTTGAGAAGGCTGCGTCAATGTTTGTGAAAATGTTGGTAGCCTGTTTTAGAAGAATCCACCTCTTTAGAAAGCACTGACAATAAACCTTTTATAGAGGAGTTTTCCTTTCATCGACCCTCTTGGCTCTTGTTCAAATCCATAGTGAAATATTTCGGTCTGCACTTGGTTAAGAGAGTACTTGAATTTTTAGGCATCGAGAAAGTGCTTTGAAAGAGGAGGAGGGGGACAGCTCGTGGTGATTTTTCAAAACAGTTTAATATCGATGGTTTAATGAAGACCTACGGAAATGCACTGCCCAAGCATCTGTGTTAAAACCTTACTGAAATGCATAAAGGTTAATAGAAATGTGATGGTAAAAATCTATGGGCAAAGGCTCTTCTGATTTTGGCAATGTCTTGCCTGAAATATGACAACTTGTACCTACTGAGTTGTCAGTTTTTCTTGCCTGAGGCATTCAAATTTTAAGGTATTTGGGAACTGAAACACCACCTGGTGCAGTCTTGGATGCAGTTAAACTTAGTGCAATATTAACACGTGAAACAATAAAAGTGTGAGGTTTTTGTTGTGCAGTCTCGTTGAACAGACATCTAAATTCACAGGAAAGATTTTCACATTCCCAGGCAGCAATCCTGAGGTCTTTTCCTCCGACACTGAAGCCTAGCAAATTGCTTCTTACATAGAGATCAAAGAGTAGTATGTTATAGATCCTTTAAGTGTGTAGGGAGGTAATATGTATACGAAGAAGCTCAAATGCGAAATAAAACCAGACATGGGAAAATACTGGATCTTTGGGTCATTAATCGTATTGTAGTAAATATAGTAAGAGTGATGCATAAATGCTGATTCCATTTAAATAAGAGTGCTCAATTAATAAAGAAGAATAGATGCAAGTTATGTCCATTTTATTTAACTATAAAAAGTGAATAAATTCGAAGTAGTTGAGAATAAAATTATACAAAATAGAACATATAACTTTTATCTAGGCCTGGCATGGAGCTCTGCCTACTTCAAGTACTGA